AGAATTAAAAAAAACCAGGTAAAAAAAAAATGTAAACAAAAAAAATGTAGCGGTTCTATGTAATACACGAACGAAGAAACGAACAGCTTACGTGATATGTATCGAGAACACATAAAAAAAAAAAAAAAAAAAGAAAAAAAAGTGGCAGAGTAGTGTGTAAGTAAAAGGGGGGAATCACATTGGTGAAGCGGATTTTGGTTCACGATGAAGAACTTTCTTTTTCCATCCCCCTCACCCCGGTAGAGAGAAGAAGTACTTCCGGTTGTGTAACAGGCACCTACACTCATCCTCGTAGCATACGTTGCACCCCCGGGACAGTTTCCTTACTCCCTTCCAACCCCCTCTGTCTCTTTATGCACCTTTTTCTCTTCCTCTTCCTGTCTCTTTCTTTCTTTATTTATTTATTTCTGTTCTCTGTGTTTTTTTTTTCTTTCTTTCTTTCTTTCTTTCTTTCTTTCATTCTTTTTCATTTTCTCGATCAGAACCAGTAGCTTACGCCCTGCTTTATACGAATAAACGTGTACAAAGGAACTGCAGTTTTTTGAAGAAGAATTTTTTTTTTCTCTCTTTTTTTTTTTTTAAATCTTCCCTGAACGAAAGAGAGATAGAGAGGGAGAGAGAGAGAGAGAGAGAGAAAGAGAAGGAAAAGGACAAATCAAACAAATAAAAAAATGAACGGTTCAACTTGGATCGAGAAAAGTGTAAAACGTTTATTTATTTCTATTTGTTTGTTTTCTTTTTTTTTTTTTTGGTTTATTTTATTTGACTTGTTGCATTCACCCTTTTCCATGTTTGAGTATAAGTATATGTATACGTATACGTAACTGTTGATGAAAGTATCAGTAGGAGAAGAGTAATACAGGAAACGCAGTGGGTTTTCTGAAGAAATCGATAGATTCGATTCTATCGATCGATCGATAGATTCTTTAACCCTATCATCGTAATTATCTGCTCAAGCGAAGTTTAATTATTATTACGATGAAAAAAAGAAAATAAATAAATAAAAATTATTTTCCACATATAATCGTTGGGTTTGAATAAAATAATTGATTGAATTTTAATGAATTTAATAAAAATATTTTCTTATAGAAAATTTAATAAAAAAAAAAAAAAATAAGAAGAAAATCTTTACGCCGTAAGGGAAATGAAAGATGTTTAAATTAATTGATTGGAAATAAACCAAAAAATAAAATAAAATAAAATAAAATAAAATAAAATAAAATAAAATAAAATGGGTGAAGTAATAATCTAATGATTTTTGTATTTTTTCGAATTAATTGAATCTTAGAGTTTTTCGAAAGAAAGTACGAAAGCCGATGAACTCGAAAGAAAGTGCATAAAGGATAAGAATCAGGTATAAATATAACGCAACAAGACGTTCCTTGTATATATATATATATATATATGTATTCACACATATATGTATGTGTATGTGTATCTACTATGCGCGAAGTGAATGCCATCGTTAAAGCGTATATATACATTGCGTCACACGCAAAGGTCTTCTTCTTCTTCTTCTTCTTGTTCTTCTTCTTCTTTTCTTCGTTCGAGGTGCGTGACTGGCGCGACCATAAATTTTTGTCTAACAAATGTGGAACGTTTACCTTAACTTTGACTATATATATAATTATTAACTCTTTTTTAGGATTTTTAATTTATTGTCAAACAATCGATCTATATATATATTTTATACAATATATTAAATTTTATTATTTTATATATTAAATTTTACATATTAAATTTTATTATTTTAAATATTATCTTATATAT